AGCGCTTGCATATATTTTTTTATGTCATTTATAGAAATGTTCTTTAGTACCTCGGTTACGGCTGCTTGAATGGCTGGGATATCATCATAAAATGCTCCCTTCATCTTAGTTTTCAGTTTTGGAAATAAAAAATAGTTACATGGTGATGGATCAGGCGAATACGGAGGATGGTCGATGAGAGAAATTTCTTTTTTCATTAAAAATTCGTTCACTTTTTAGCGATTTTTTGGTCGTCATTTAATTCCTGTGAAACGAATCGCGCACAGACCTTTCTTTTCCCCAAATCTTCAGTTAAAATTCTCCAAATAGTGTTTTTACTCGTATTCAATTCCTCAGCCAACAATCTCGTAGTAAAATTTGCATCGATACCAATGATTTCACGGACTTTTTCCACCAGTTCAGCACGATTACTAGATTCTCGACGTCCTGCTCTAGGGTAGGCATTTAAATCCTCACGACCATTTTTAAATCGTGTAAACCACGTACGACTCAGACAATCATCACAAAAACATTTTTTCTTTAATTTTTTTTCAAATTTGACACAAAATTTTATATTTGCTCTTTGTTCCATTTTATTTTTGAACCATTAGGTCACTTTTGGTTTTGTTGAAATGGCTGTCACTTTTACATCTGTCATCCGACTTACTTGATTGGTGCGTTTGAAAGAGGATGAATGTATCATTTTAATGTTGCAAATTTTCAATAGATGGCGCTGTATGTTGTATGATTTAAATATAAAGTTCGATTATTTTTGGGACACACCGTGTAGAGATGAAATATATCTGGGCGTAGGCCTTTCACCTTCACATATATGTACTGTATACAGGTAGAACCCTTTAATTTGCTGTACTTTAGTTCTAAGGAGGATTTAGGTTCTTCAACTGGTGTTAGAAGCTGGAATTCTTCTGGAAAAGTTAGGGTTTTTTATTTGCAATAGCATACCCTGTTTTAACAATAGTTATTTCTCCTGCCGAACTGGGTAATTTTATTTCATTTTCAGGGAGAAGGGAGAATAGTATGCAATAACTCTAGTAAAATACTACTAACCAGTTGGTTAGTAAAGCAGTCTACCAGTAACGGAAGTAATAATAACTTCTCCACCGTTTGTTGTGGTTCTATCGGCACGCCGTGGCTGAATTTCATTATCTGTTCTACTCTATGCCCAAGATGACGTTGATTGCTAGATTGTCAGGATATTCGATTGATTAGATTTTATATCTCTAAAGCTTTAGGCTTTGGGTTCGAGTCTCATAAGAGGTAATAGGTCACGACTGAGATTCAAGTCTTAAAAAGCTCTGTTGAACTGCACATCTCACACACAACTCGTTACTCTCTGCATCATAATGATGGGCTAGTGTCTAGAGGTTACCAGTCTGGTGTATGCAGTTGGCGATACCGATTCTCGCAACATATATAAATGAACTGGTATACAAATAATATAAAGATGATGCATAATCGTACAATAACCACGTCGTTGAACATCGCCGTGTTAAAAACCCCAGTTGCTTACAAGTGAAAATGATGAAAGTGGAACTAGTTAGTGCAAGACTGTCCAGTTCGATGGTAGTTGAGTTGAGTGATACCGCTGAGACTTGTGTTTCTGAAAAAACTTGTGGCGCCCGGAATTAAAGGCTGCACAGTGGCAGAGGTACTGCGCGAGGGTATCTTCTTCGTTCCTACAGTCGCGGCAGAGGGATAAGATGTTTAGATTTTTTCGCATCTAGCTTTGGACATAGCAGTCTGGTCACGTTGCACGTGATCTCGTTCAACCATAGGGAGTCAGCTTGCCTGATGAAGGCCAGTTTAAGCATATACCTAGCCGTGGACAGAGGTAAACTAGAATCATGTGCGGGTTTTGCCGTAGGATTCCTTCCCTTGCTAGCTCGTCTGCCATGCAATTGTCTGGGATGTCCCTGTGTCCAGGTACCAAGTCCACGGTATTCTCATGTTCATGCTTACTGAGAGCACAGGATAATAAATTCCGCAACCCACTCTCTTGGATGGTAGTTAAAAACTAGTACTCTTTCCTGCTGAGTTATGTACTATTGTAAAAAATATTGACTAAGTTAATTGAAGGTCGAGTAGATGTTCCGACGGCTTGGTACTTATACATCCACCTCATATAATATTATGGATTCACCAAGTGATTACCTACTGTTCCTATCTCTGGCGTATGAGTTAGTTGGTCGGTCAAGAATTGGCCTCATGAGAATGCTGTGAAAATCGGCTGAAGACAAACTTTCGACGACTGGGATAAAGGTTTTAAAGAGTCGGATAATTCTAACTACGGCCAATAAAGCCCTTAATTTAATACGAAAATAATTGAGTACTTTTTACTAATATAATAATGAAGCACAGAAATATTTATGAAGCGACCTAAAGTTAGAAGCTTTAATTTTTTTTTTAATTTTAATAAACACACGCATGAAAGACAAGCGAAACCTCTACCAGAGAATTTTGCGAAAATATACATATACATGCATATACACATACATATATAATATCATTTTAAACGAGTACACTTTAAAAGCAGCTTTTGTACATGAACATTTTTTCTTGTAATTAATTTTATTTAAATTAATATTAAAATACTGGCTAAAATTTCCAGCAAAAAACGACAAAAAATTTCAACTTATGGACACATAGAATCAAATAAATCTAGGTGAAGTCAGAGAAAATAAAATAAAAAATATTGTAGAAAACACACAAACAAAAATAATTATGTATATAATTTATTAATTTTTAATATTATTTTTATTAATACATAAAGTTATTTTTCCCTACTCTCAACGACTTGCGCGCTTCTCGTTCGCGTGGTTAACTGCCATAACCTATGACCGCTGTCTCATTTTACGCAATCGCTTATTATCGCAACTCTTCTTTTACAAAGTCCGTACGCATGAGGAGGTTTAATGAGCAAACGTGGCAAGCAACGCTCTCGTATATATGTAATTACGTATTATTTACGATGTGTACTTGTAAACAATGTGGGATGAAATGGCAAATATTTTTAAGCTTTCTGATATCCGAATTCTTGTATGACCCGGTATGACAGAAAGAGTTGCTAGAAATTTTTTGAGTGAAACTTTTTAAAAAAACTTTGTAAAAAACTAAAAAAAATATAAAAGAGCCCACAAACGGGCTGATGCTGATTGACCTTGCTGGGGCCCGAAGTGTGGTTGTACTAGATTCCAGCACAAGAAAAATAATCAAGCTACTTGGCCGTTTCCAGATCGATGTGAGCTTGCACAGTTGCATTGAACTTGTTGTATTAGGTGGACCACTTGTATTCAGTATTCGTGAGGTGTGCATACTCCAACTATCTTATATTAGGAAAGTTACGCACCCACCTCTGTGCAGGAAGAAATATCCGTCAACAAATACCAAGAGGGTTCACCGTCGAAAAGCAGCTATAATAACAGACAACCGATCGAATATCTGCTCGGTCTGCACTGTTGCTCTCAGAGAGCACTCGTCCGTAACTCGATATAAGATAACTGCGTAACTCGATATAAGAAAACTGCAGTACGTCCTTTCAAGCTCCCAACGAAGCTATTGGGTTTCGAAAAGGAAAAAAAAATAACTGATATGATGAGGATCACCATGCCGCAGAGTGAAGTGAACAAGCTGCCTATCTTGCGCCGTTTCTATCGATCAATGCATGTAAGGATGGAACAGGTACCGAAAGCTGAAAGGGAAGCAAGATGCATATACATATAAAGAAGATAAAAATAAAGAAAGAGGACGAAATTCGTGAGTATGTAGAGCTTGTTAAGCTGGCCGACAAGGGTAATGTGCGAAGATTCTACGAAAACATGCGGCGGCTTACAGAAGGTTTCAAGACCGTAGCAAACATTTGTAGGGACCAGAGAGGTGACCTAGCGGCTGATGCCCAGAGTATACTCCTGCCTCATGAATAGCAGTAAAATTTGGTCAAGCTGAGATGGGTGACTCATTCCCCAATGGATGACGATGGAACAGATGTTTCATTATACGACTACGAATAAGTTTGAACAGCAATCGCCTGCCTGAAAGCCAACAAGGTGGTCAATGTCGATGGATATCCGTCTGAGTTAATCAAATATGGCGGCGAATAACTGAAAAGGTTCATGCATCGACTTCTTAGCGATTTGAAAAAGAACTCAAGATTAGTTTGCGATGAAACAATCGGACAGATGCACAAGACTAAATCAATATAGCTCGTCCATTTCTTCTCCGCCTGGGATTTGAAAGTATAAAATTTAAATAAAATTAAATCAAATAAAATAAAATAATAACGAAAATTAGAAGTTGTTTCCGCAAATAATATTTTAAAATTTATATTTTTATAAATAATCAAACCATTTCGACCAATGCATTTTCTGTAAGCACACACATGTATGTTACACCTGGCAGGAAATTCGCTTTGTCAACACAAATGAAATATCAACGTTGCACTGGGATACCTAACACTCTGGCAGGCTTGAATGTAAATACATGCGCACATTTATAATTGCATTTCAAGCTATAAATATACATATTTAAATGAGTGAAAACATTCACATATAAAATATAAAATACTATGTAATCAGCAGTCAGGTCGAAAACTAAAATGTCCGAGCTGTACATTTTAATTTTCCCTACTGAAAACATTTTAATTGACATAACAGAAATTACACAACACAACGCCAGACCTTGATAGAAACCAGCACGAAAGGATGAATTCAAGCATACATATCTACTTATTGTACATATATGCCTGTATGTACATAAATCATACATATTTTTCTTGTAAATATGCAAATTACTTCCGAAATTACCTTTCATATTACACTGCCAACTTTGTCAATATTATGAACGTGTGTACCGACATAATTACATATTTTTATATGTTTGTTTTTTTTCCACTGTCACTCACGTGTCCCGTTTCACTTTTTACGACTTCTTTCTTTTCTACCAACACTCTTTTTCCCTCTTTGCTTACATTTCTTCAATTTTCTCTTCTACCGTTTTCCTTACAGGACTCAAGCAGCAAATGCCGCCTTAATATCACAAGCACGCTCCGGCCGCAAGGTGCCTCCTCCACTGCTGCGCTCTCGTACTCTGCCAGCGATTATTGTGCCTGGCATTCCGCTCGTTTCGCTTAATACGGATCGGCAATTTGGTGAGTAATGGGAATGTGTTATTAAAGTATTTAACTCAAGGCACGTGTGGGAATGTGTGTGTGTTGGGTTAGATAAAAAAGAGTGATGAGCAGGAAAATATTTTAAATACTCGTAATTTCTTAATGACATTATAAGAAAATTTTTCACTCACCATTTATTTAAGCTTGATGTTCAGTAATTCACCAAAAAAAAAAAAATAACATAAAATAAAATGAAATTAAATTAAATATTAAATAAGAAAAATAACGAGGTAATAAAAATAATAATTAAAATGAAATAATAGCATAATAAAAATTATTATATTGAAATTATTTATAATAAAAATATTTAGTGAAAAAAATGGAGAAAATAATTAATTAAAAAAATTTTAACTCAATTTAATTAAACTTGATGTTCATAGATTCACTAAAAAAATAGCATAAAATAGAAAATATTAATTAAAAAATAACTATGGCAATAAGGAAGGAAAAATAACAATTTGTATAAAAAATAACATACTAAAAAAATTAATTGAAAATATAATAAATAAAGTAAAATAAAGAAAAAAATAAAAAACTGGAGAAAATATACAATAATAAGTTTTTTTAACTCATAATTTATTTATGCTTGCTTTGCAGTGATTCCCAAAAAATAACATAGACTAAAATAAAATTAAATAAAAAATAATAGATAATAATAAAGAAATAAAAAAATTATTTAAATAAAAATTAAATACCATAATAAAAAAAAATTATTGAAAATATAACAATTAAATTAAAATAAAGAAATAAATAAAGAAAATGGAGCAAATAATTAATCATAAAAATTGTTTGACTCACAATTTATTTAAGCTAATTTAAGTGATTTCCATAAACATATCTAATATAAAATGAAATTAATTCAAATAAAAAAAAACAATAATAATAAAAAAATAAAAATTTAACAAATATTAAAAAAATATTTGAACTTAAATATAATAAATAAATAAAAATGAAAGAAAAAAAATTTAAAAAATCGAGAAAATAATTAATTATAAAAAATGTTAAACACATAATTTATTTTAGCTTGATATTCAGTAATTCACCAAACAAATAACATGAAGTAAAATGAAATTAAATTAAATAAAAAATAACAATAATATTAAAAAAATTTCTTAGTTAAAAAATTTATTAATTATCATAATTAATGAATTAAAATAAAAACAAATCGGCGGTAGCCGAGTGGTTAGCATTGCTTACTACCATATGGAAGGCTCAGGTTCAAATCCTGGTGTCGTGCTAGCATCCAAAAAATTATAGAAAATTATTTTAATTAAAAAATTAAACTAAATTTTCTAATTGCGGTCGCCCCTCGGCAGGCAATGGCAACCCCGGACATGAAATAAAGCTTCTCATAAAAAACCATTTGCCGTTCGGAGGCGGCTTTGTTGAAAAAACATCAATACGCAAAACCACAAATCGAAGGAGGAGCTCGGCCAAAAATTGTCTGAGCGTTTACAAAGCACCAACTCTACATACACGTATACAAAAAAAGAAGAAAATAAAATAAAATTAAAAAATAAAATAAATTAAATTAAATTTAAAAATGTATATAATAAACATAAATGAAATAATACAAAATAATGTAATTAAGCAAAATCAAAAATCTAAAATTTAATACAAATAAAAAGTAATAAAATAAATTAAATAAATAAATAAATTAAAATAATTCACCGAAATGATTGCCTTTGATGGGAAAGTTATAGGCCCCGAATTTCTTAGAATAATGGGAGCTAAAAATTCATACTAGGTTACCTAATCGAAATTGGAGAAAGGGAAAGTAGTATGGAACGCTCAAATTCATTACCCTTCGTCTAACCTTAGACCATTTTACGAATCGAGGAAGTTTTTATTTCTCAGTAATATACATATGTATATTATGGGTCTAGAAAATCATTTCTACCTATTTAATATTGTGATTTACATTTATCTGGAATTGAGGCTCCGCCGCTCACGCTTTAAATATATGCTTAAATTTTTGCAGAAATGCAAAGTAAGATCAAATGCTGTTCCTTTTCCCATTTGTCGTTGTAACCAAAAGATAGCTACAATTTTCAAAATTCAGTTGCTAAGAAGGACACCCTTGAATTTTCTATAATTCTTCACTGATGCACTGACTCAGTCGTCTTCCGTTGGCCGTGAAAAGAGGGCACCAAAGCTCAATGTTCTCTCCCCCCTTGCTCTCCCTAGCTTTGATGTTATCAGGCCTTCGACTAACAAGGCGAATTAAAAAAGACTAGTATGGTTCGGCAACAAGCGTCAGAGTCTCGACCAAACTGGATCTTTTCGATACACATATTCAATTTTCTTGCCTCTCTTCCTAAAAAATATGTTAGATGACAGTTTGTTTGAGCTGAATCAGATATGAAGTAGCAGTGGACAGTACTTGAACAAATTTTATTGATGAAAACTCCAGAAACTGTCGATCATACGTGGGAGTAATTAATATAGGTTGGTGCAATGGACTAAACTATCATGAAAGACAGTAAGAGTTTTCTGAAACTCGCGAAAGAGCAAGGCTGAAATAATCGGTATGCTTAAGGAATTTTAGAGAGTAAAATAATATAGGGAACATCCACTAACTGTACGACTTACAGTTTTTTGGGGAGCTGAGAACAAACCATCACATTTCAAGGCATTCCTACTAAAATGTATGGATCCCATTCCCATCTTGCACAATCTCAAATACTATCTTAGTTTGCAAATGCAACTAGAGCCTTAGCATGGCAAAAGACTCGAAAGAGTCTTTAACTTTACTTCATGCCTGAAAGCTGGTTATTGAAAGGGGATTCGGTACACTGGATTTAGACAACAGTAATTTGACACATACTATCCTGTAGAGCCTCCATCCGGTGACCGGCACTTGAAGCTATTACTTTCATTTTCAGGAGTTGCTATCAACTTTACGGGCTCCCAACTCTGCGCCCCACCTCATTTGGCAAGTAGGTTCCGATTCTGCACACATTTATGTAACGATCCGCTTGGTTCAAGACTGACGCAAACCTACAGCCCTTATACTGAATATGTTGAGGTCCCTCCACTGAATCTTCAACTCTTTTCACAATAATCGAATATTTAATTCATCCACGAGTTGGATTTTGTAAGCCCGTAAACGAAGATGCTTCCGTGAAATTCTCCAAGAAGTGGATAGGTTCAGCTCCAATTGTTTCACACTATACCAGATGGACTCATTCGGGTCTTCTCCGAAACTCGAATTATCGCGATTATGTCGACCGAATATTGGACACAGCGAACCAAATCAATATACTTGTAATAAATTTGCGTTGTTCCGGAGTAGATCAGCTCATTATGAAACGGTTAACCAAATTTGGTATAAATCAAGTAACAGCTGAACAAATTCCGAAGTAGGTATTGCATTATTGAACAGAAGACATCAACTCGTCTGGGTAAGAGATTCCCCGATACCCGAATATCTCTTCCGATATACAACCCTCAACAGAGCTTTAACACTGTGGACATTGCGCAAGTGTGTAGCAACGGCTCCAAGTGCTACAGCCAGAATAGCATCAAACTGAAAGCAGACTTAACGAAGCATCCATATAAATCCATATAAATTAATTTGTTGTTGTCTTCATTTCTTAAGAAACTTTTCCCCTCATTCGCTGCAATATATTTCTCAAAACAATCGATTTTTGGCCAAGCTCCTCCTACATTTTGTGGTTGGTTGTGCGTCTTGATGTTTTTCCAACAAAATGGAGGGACCTACAGTTTATATTATACCGCCTCCGAGCGGCTGTTGGTTTTTTTTATGAGGAGCCTTTATTTGATGTCAGGAATACACTCGGAGGGGTTGACATACGTTGCCGAGGCGCGACCGCAATTTCAAAATTTAACTTAGTTTTTTATTTAAATTAATCTTCTATAACTTCTGAATGATTGGTCGTACCAGGATTTGAACCCTGGTCTTCCGAATGGCAGTACACAATACTAACCACTCGACCATCGCGGTCGCCGAAAATGCTTTTGTTAGATTCAAAGAACTCCACATCCTCGATACAACAGCTCGCCTTGGCAGTCGTTAGAGTGTGAAATGCAAATGTCGGCAACGTTGCGAAGAAATCTTTTTGTTTGTGTGAGAATGAGAACAAGAACTTTCTCGAGCACAAGCGCTTGCCGTGACGGAGGATTTATGCAAAAGTTTTAACGATAAAGTTGTTGCAAGTAATTAACGGAGTGACACTACTACACACGGCACTCCAAGAGTGAATATGTATGCGCGTGTTTACGTGAGTAAAGTGAGTACTGAGAGTGAGTACTGGGAGTTAGTAGGATAACGAGTAGGAAGATGATTCGTAGTATAAATATTAGCAGCGAGTGATTGTCGGCTATAGAAGAAGTTTAAATGAGGCGAGCGAGTGGATGTGTGTGTGCATGTTTCACTTGCGTCCCACACACTAGGCGGCACTATTGAGAGGATAAGCTGTAATTCAATTACAGTTACACCACTACATGCGGGCATGCTCAGTTGAGTTGAGTTGATCACCATTGATAAGTCTGTGCGTGTGATAGTAGAAGTGCTGCTTTTGCTATTTTTTTGTTTTTGTTTTTGTTTTTGTTTGTGTTTTTGGTCTGCTTTAGTCAAAATTCGCTTTAATCTCTTATTGGCCTTTCATTTGCTCAGGTTAAGTTGGTTGACTTGTTTATATGTGTTTATTTACTGTTAGAGAGTTACATTGCGGTTGGCGAAAGCAATCCAATTAGTTTGTTCTATGCGACTAACAAATTTACAACTTTTCTCAGCAAACAAACAAAAAAAATCGTGTGTAGCTAGAAATTATATTAAGGCGCACACGCTTCACACGCTCAACACTCTTTGCCCACCGCACTCACTCTGTATGTTTTGTCTCACTCTACGCCTCACTCTTCCTCTCACATTCTATCTCTATCTCTTTGCCTCTCTTTCTTTTCACTCACGTAGACGAGCGTGGGAGCAGCCTTTTGGGCACAAAGTCGGGCAGTGGCACCAGCACTGGCGGTGGCGGCACAAATCGCTGGTCTCTACTCTCCCGTCAAACCCCTACTACGCCCGGTTGCACCAACAATAATAATAATGTGGTGAATATAAAGTCGCTGAATCTGCCGAAGGATGATATGGGCGTCTATCGTCGCAAATCTTCGGGCAGCACCACAGGCCACACAGGCACGAGCTCAAGCGTAAGTGGCACACCGATTGGCGTCTCGCAAGTGGCCGATGCGGCGTTGTTGATGCCAACCTGCGAGGATTTCGAGTACCACGCTGCCGATGGATCAGTGTTGCTTAGGTAAGTTTTGACTGTTGTTAATTTCATTTACTCTTTGATCTTGAGAGTTTTGTGTAAATGTTGGTTTAAAAATATTTCTCTCATATAGAATACCCGCACCGCATGTTGTTGCCGCACGTGCTTACCGCTTGGCATCGAAGAAACGCAGTACCGGCGGCAGCAGCAACAGCCATGACAACCAACTGCGGCAGCCGCATGCACAACAGCAAGGAAGTGTTGGCAGCAGTAATGTGTCTTCAGCTATGTCCTCTGTGACTAATGCCAACGAAGCACAACAACCCTCAACGCCGGAGGGCACCGGAAGTGGTGGAGGCGCTGGCGACACCAACACAGCTTTGACACGTCGACTGGCCAAACTCTTACATCAATCCAGCATGTCTGCCTCGAGGCTAACGGCAGCTGCATTACCGCATGCGGATCATACAACCTCGGCGAGTGCCTCGACAGCTAACACAAACAACCTGCTGCCAATTATGGCTGCTGTGGGGTCAAGAGATGGCGCTGGTGATCACAGTGGCGGTGACAGTGCCTTGGAAGAGGCGCCACGTCGACTTTCATGGGAGAGGTAAGTGTTAATGGTGCGTTGTAGCCGCGGGTTATTTGAAATTCATGCGGGCTGTGTTGAGTGCCAAAACAAATTTATTTTGAATTTGAAATTAAAATTGTCGGTTTATACAATTTAATTGAGTGCACACCCAACGCATCAACTCTATAAATTAGATTAGGTGTTTCAATGGCATTTTGAAGGTGTTCCAGTGTCGAAATTCATTACTGTGAGAATTATTTAGTGTCAACTGTTTCGAGAAGATAATAATGAAAAATGTTTAATAAGAATTTGCACATTTTGTTTACGCTTCATTAGCTATCTGGGTTTGTTATTTGTGGAGCTTCGGAGTCCGAATTCGAATTCGGTTTTGCTATGTATTAATATCAATTCTAAGGCTTAGAGGTTCATAAAGGAAGGGCTATGTGGAGTCAACTTCGCTCATTTATTATTATGAAAATTATGAATGGATGAACCTGAGTCCTTCAAACCTGCTGCGAGACTAATTTCAAACAATATTCCAATGGACGGGCATTCATAAAATGAAGTTCTCAAGTTGATTAGCCACGCAATAAATTTCAGATTTAACGCAGAGTGGGCAAAATGTTTGCGATACCAACGTCGGTAGCTCTTTTAAACTATATCGCCTCGACAATATTCTTAAAACCAGCAGCCTGATACCTCCCGTCCGATAGTCTGGGCAGACCAACCTTCGTGAATCTATATATAAATAGGAAAATGAAGAGAGGTGGTTTGCACATATTGACAGCGGAACCAATAAAACGCGCATAAATTGAAATACTCGCAGAAGGGTGATTGCCCCAAAATTGAGCCTACGTCCACAAATCCTAAGGCCCATATAAACGTATGGATCGTTAAACTTATAGAACAGATATGCTATGTACTAGGTATAGCAGGGGCGATGAGAACGACATCAATAAAGGCCCTGGAAGTCATCCTCGACACTAGACCAATTGAAATACAAGTGACTTATGAATCATTACTAGCAGCTAAACCAACTGGGCAGGGCATGCCGACATACAGAAAGTTATAAGAGAACTTGCGCTAAGCATGCAGCACCACCGAGAAAAGTAAACCACTTACTGGTCCCTAGCGGGGAAGAATGGACAGAAGGCAAGGTAGTAGTGAAAATGGGCCCAAATGCAAGGCAGGCACAGTAGCAGGGTTATTCTATGACCGCCCCAATAGGCAAGTTAGCTTGAAACTATATGAATGACTGCAACTTTGTCCTCCAAGCAGTGAATATCACTCGATTTCCAGATCACTTCAAAGTAGAAAGTAATGAAAAGGCAGATGAGGTGACTGTCACCATCGACTGTCTCAGATCTTTCAGCATCTTCAGATGCTACTTAAGACAGTGCACGATTAGGGAACACATAAGCTTCTGAAACACTTCCGACCGTAAAACGCACTATGAGCTAAGCAAAATAAAGCTCCTCCAATTTGTGGATTTGCGTCTTGATGTTTCTCCCATAAATGGAGGGACCTGCAGTTTATGCTGTACCGACTCCGAACGGCTGATGGGTTTTTTTACAAGGAGCTTTAATTTCAAATCCGAAATACACTCGGAGAGGTGGACATTCCCTGCAGTGGGGCGACCACAATTAGAAAATGGAAAAGAATTTTTTAAAGAAATTAAATAAGATCATTAAATCGAGTGAAATGAACGTAAAAACATAATTAGGTTAAGCGGGGGGTCATAATGAGCCTACTCAATAACTTAATTGCGGCAGGGATCAGGTCTCTGACTGGGAATACAAATAAGCTATGTAACTATGTACAAACTAAAAATGTTAAATTAATTGTTCGTATCTTCTCTTTGATCTTTTTTTCTTTTTTGTATTATTCGATAATTTTTAACACGATCACGAGACGTTTACTAGTAAAACTTCATTGTATCGGATGTCAGGGCATGCTGCTATCTGGTAAATCATACGAGGAGGCACTTTTATATTCGCAGATTGAGAGCTCATTAGTTTGATACAAGTGCGAGGATTCATTGCTATTAGACAATTATTTCCTGAGCTATCGTCAGCTACATAATAGGGCGTGAAAAGTAAAATATGAAAAAATCCAATATCCTGCCGGTATAAAGATCCTTACCAACCAATAAGTGGAATAGCTTAATTAAACAAGGTAGGCAAACCTTCAACACCGCTCGACTATAGAAGAAACAACACAAGGATCATCCTGGCATGAGTAAAGTCAACGGCAGATGGATGCCAACACGCCCCCCCAAAAATAACAGCCGCGTTGCGTTGGCTGATGGACTGTACAGAACAGACCCCTGAGTGAAAAAAAGAGAGAGAGAGGTAAAGAGTTTAGCATCATGATGATGTCAAGGAGGCAGTTACAGCGTATTTTTAATAAATATTCTATTTTTATTTTTATAGTAAATAAATTCCTAATTGCGGTCGCAACTCGAAAATGAATGTCAACCCTTCCAAGTGTATTTTTGATATGAAAATCAAATCTCCGTAAGGAGCGAAAATCGCTTAGGCGCTCACAAAGAGCCACTTTATATACTACATATATATTTATATATATATATTTTTTTTTGTTTGATGGTGTACACAAATTAACAGAAAGATCTGAAAAATGTATTCATCTCAAGGACAGTCGATATGCCTGAGGACATTACTGATGTGAAGGCAATAACTTCGTATTAAAAAGGCAGCAGCAATTCTGAGACGTTTCATTCGTAAGGGATACATGAAGACGTGAATGAAAATCGATTGAGTCGGCTTATAACCAAGCTTGATTTAAATATCTTCTAAAGAACTTTGCCCAGTGATATTTTGCTCTATGAAATCTTAGGGAATACACTTTTGGGTTATAAATATTACACAATTTATTATCTTAAACAGACTAAATCCTGTTCCTCTGCACCAATATTCAATACAATTTTGCACCTAATTCAAATGTAATCATTAAACACACATGCACATTTTCAAAAGATTTACTTGTCATCAATCAGACAGAATTTACATAAGTACACATGCACATGTATATACAAATTTATCAACTCCGTAGACATGTGTTTCCTTTCCTTTGCACATATTGTTTTATCTGTTTAACACATTGTAATTAGTTAATTTCATCAGTAAACCTTAATTTGGGCGTGCGTAAGTGTGTGTGTCTATGTGTGTGTTTGTGTAGGTGTTTTACAGTAGCAGCAACAACAAAGCGCTTTGCGTTAAAAGGAATACGACACTGAAATACTTTGCATACAATTAGGCACTCTAACTGAATAACCAAATATCACAACACATACACATACATATTTATGATATATGTATTCTTTTGCATATACCATACCATATACGAGATGTGTTGAGAAAGTAACAAGATTTTTTTGACATTTAAACGAATTTATTTATTTATTCGTCTACCCTGATTTTGTCGCCTTCATTATTATTGCAGCAATAGGAGGTTATGCACTTATTCCAGCATTTCTTCCAATCCCCGAAAAACGGTTTAAAATTGAACTTTCGGTTAGCCCTAGTCCTCTTTTTCAGGGATGTGATTTTAAAAATAACTACGCCTAAGAAACGTCGGCTTTTTACCTGTTAAGTCTGTGTGATGTGTGAGCAAACTCTGCGCACAGACCTTGCATGGTCTTAAAGCACACACGATTTCTATAAAGCTTAAGGGGTGACATAGGTTTTGAATGCCAAAAAAGCTTTTTATCAATAATTTTTTTTTAAGATAGTAAATAAAGTATAGAATTTATTTTGTTTACATATAAAAGTACAATATGTGAACAACAATTGATAAAAATTTGAATGAAAAATAGTATATGTTAAGGCGTTGGCAGTGTCGTGAAGTAGACCGACCACAAGAAAGTGATTTTCAGTAGTCATGATAACTTTTTCAATTTTTATCTGAAATCAAAAATCCTAATTTTTTCTTAAAGTAGATGAATTTTCCTTGTCCCTGAAAGGAGAAAAATTAAAAAAAAATTAAAAATTGAATTTTTTTTGCATTAAATTAGGCCACATATTGGCTTGTCAAATTAGTTGAAATCAAAGACAAAATAAATCCTTCGTTCAGAGACTACAAAAACATATTTAAAAGAAGTGTTAAAATTTTTAACTCCATCGCTTCAATAGTCGTCGAGAAATTTTAACCACCGATTTCGATAAAGTGGGTTTAAGAAAAAAATAAATTGAAATTTGGCAACTGTTTACAAGTATGAATTTCACGTTTTCCATGGCTTTTTGATGTATTGGGGCGTCATTTTCAGCGGCCATCTTCGAAGTGCTCATGTTCATACATATTTTTCTAAATATTTCCTTTGAGATTTATATACTTTTGGCCTCGATTGAACCAAATGTCGAAGCACTTTTGCCGACTGCCCTTCACGTGTCGAAAAACGTTGACCACTCAATTTATCCTTTACGAGAGGCAACAAAAATAAATCAATCGGTGCCAAGTCATTGCTATGCAGTGGGTACCTCTTCAAATTGTTGCTTCGAGTGCTCAAAAATTCTTCTATTTCATTCGTCTTCGTCGATGGTTTTAAAAGTTACTATTCTGTGTTGCTCCAGTAGTCCACTAATCAGTCAACACGAGCAGTTAAAAGAAAAGAAACAAGCTACTATTTTGTTGGACTTAGATCACCCTAAAGACCCATACGGCCGTCGTTCTTCTATACACTAGTATTTTATTATTTTTTTTTACAATTTCTCTCGACGATTCGACACGAGCCTTTTTCTGATAGATTGAAAAATTTTTTCCTATTGCTGTCTCAAACTCACTACAGATCATATGACGATCTTATATTTGGTTTTTGGACGACCTTCGTGAAGTTGGAAATACGACCTCGTTTGAATTCACATACCATCGATAAACATTGGCGCTCGATGGAGCTGATGTGCCTGAGTGGAGGTTTCAGCTTCAAGTAAATGACTATTAGAGTGTTCCGACGGTTCATTTATGGCGCAGGTTTTGGTCCAGGTTGCGGACTCTATGGATTTTTGTAGGCGTTAAGTGTGGTT